TTTGTTTTTTTTTTTTTTTGAGATGAAGTCTTGCTTTGTCGCCCAGGCTGGAGTGCAGTGGCACAATCTCAGCTCACTGCAACCTCTGCCTCCTGGGTTCAAGCGATTCTCCTGCCTCAGCCTCCCCAGTAGCTGGGACTACAGGTGCTTGCCAACATGCCTGGCTAATTTTTGTACTTTTAGTGGAGACAGGGTTTCACCATGTTGGCCAGGATGGTCTCAAATACCTGACCTCATGATCCGCCTGCCTCAGCCTCTTAAAGTGCTGAGATTACAGGCGTGAGCCACTGCACCCAGCCGAAAGCAGGTTTTTAAAGACATGTTGAATTAATCAGTAGGAGAAATGACCGAACTCTTGTTCCTGAACTTGAGGATGTTGAATTGTAACAAAGAGATGCTTCTGCAGAGACTGGGCCGTGTGGGGAGAGAGAACATGAAGAAGCTGAAGGAGAGTGAAGCCAGGGTTTCCCAGCACGTCTGCAGCCTCCAGACGCTCACCACGGAGCTTGAGAAGAAGTGTCAGGACGGCGCCTTAGCGTTGCTCAAGGTAAGATGCTGGGAAAGAGAAAATAAAATTCATTCCAGTATTTGGGAAATGAGAAGTGGATAGTACTCATTAGGGGTCGCTGGCGGAACACAATATCCAGTGATCTTCAACCGCAAAAGAAGGCTACACAACTATTTTTCAGTTGCCAGAAGCATTAGGAATGGTGGTAACTTCATGGCATAGTGAGGAGCTGCATCGTGGGATGAATTGTCACCTTAAAATTATCAGCAGGATGTTAGGATTGAGAAGTGACACAGTGTGGCTCATAATTGGTGAGTCACATTATGATACAACCATACAATAAGATATTCTGTAACCAAATAGTAAAACAGCTCTATAGGCGCTAAAATAGTATCTTCAAGCACTCATTAAGTGAAAAAAGAAAGTTGCAGAACCTCTTTTTGTTTGATCTTTGGGTAATAAGTATATACGTATATACACACGTACACGTGTGTGCTTGCTAACATTCACAGACTTTCTGGCAAAAAAGAATTAATACATAGTCACCTGTGATGATCTTGAAACAAGGGTAAAATTATCTGCTATGGTCTGATGTTTGTGTCCCTCCAATATATACATGTTAGAATCCTCTCCCCAGGGTGACGGTATTCAGAGGTGGGGCCTTTGGGTGGTGAGGGGCTCCTGGGGGCGGAGCATCTGTGAATGAGATCAGGGCTCTTATGAAAGAGGCGGAGACAGGCCTCGCCCCTTCAGCCATGGGAGGTTAGAGTGAGATGAAGGGTACCAAGGAGGGGTCGAGCCCTCACCGGGCACGGAATCTGCCAGTGCCTCAATCTTGAAATTCCCGGCCTCAGAACTGCGAGGAATGGCTTTCTGTTGTGAAGAAGCTACTCAGTCCGTGGTAAGGGTTGCATATTTTGAATCTTGTCTAGTAGCAGAGGCTGCCTTTTCAGAAACTGGGTTACTATCTTTTTTTTTTTTTAGGCAGAGTCTCACTCTGTTGCTCAGGCTGGCGTGCAGTGGCACAATCTCGGCTCACTGCAACCTCCACCTCCCGGGTTCAAGCGATTCTCCTGCCTCAGCCTCCTGAGTAGCTGGGATTACAGGCCTGCACCACCACGTCCAGCTAATTTTTGTGTGTTTTTAAGTAGAGACAGGGTTTTTCCATGTTGGTCAGGATGGTCTCCATCTCTTGACCTGGTGATCCACCCCCCTTGACTTCCCAAAGTGCTGGGATTATAGGCGTGAGCCACCACACCCAGCCCCTACCATCTTTTTAAGACTGTCCATATCCCTCTGCTGGGCTTGTAACTGCGAGTGAATGCAGTCATCTGGAAAGTGTCTGCAGGTAAGTCCTTAGGCTCTGCCTCGCTCACACTGTCCTCGGCAGCCAGCAGCCCCTTCACCTGCTCAACTCTGGCCATGCCCTGCGTGGAAAACAAATAGATGCTCATCATCTGGAGACAGAGAAGTAAGCTGGCTAGGGTGAAGTATAGAAAACATTTCCCTTGGGAATACAGCAAAGTGATTTCATGTGTTTTTATGACCTTTCCTATTTCCATGCTAGAATTTGTTCATCTGATACCTAGCATTATGAGGCTGAAGAATGACGTGGAAATCGAGTTCGTCATAAGAGAGTATATTTTGGCCGGGCGAGGTGGCTCAATGCCTGTAATCCCAGCACTTTGGGAGCCTGAGGCAGGCAGATCACTTGAGGTCAGGAGTTTGAGACCAGCCTGGCCAACATGGTGTAAACCTGCCTCCACTAAAAATACAAAAATTGGCTGGGCATGGTGGCACATACCTGTAATCCCAGCTACTTGGGAGGCTGAGGCAGGAGAATCGCTTGAACTGGGAGGTGGAGGTTGAAGTGAGCCAAGATTGTGCCACTGACCTCCAGGCTGGGCAACAGAGCAAGACTCGGTCTCAAGAAAAAAAAAAAAAGAGGATATTTTTCTCTGCACAGATTGCAAAAGACGGCTCAAAAACCCAGTAGTAACCTGATCTCTTTTCTTTCCCTTAGAATGCAAAATGCTCTTTGGAAAGGTGAGTTTTCGTTTTACACACAATTGGGTCAGAATCAGAGTTAATAAGATGTTAATTGGGATAAGGAGATTGCACTTGCTGGTAGGCTGTAATGGGATCCATCCACTAGACGGGGGGGCCTGGTCTGTGCAGACGACTGAGGCTGTCCTTTCCCTTCAGGAGCAACGCACTGCTGCTTGAGAATCTGGAGCCTGCTCACATCACAGACCTGAGTTTATGCCACATAAGAGGACTGAGCAGCATGTTCAGAGTTTTCCAAAGTAAGTAACAGGGCCCTGTTCTGTATTTGAGAATCAGATGACCATCCTGCCATAAATAAAAACGAATTCCAGTAGTTAAAAATTTTTAGGCCAGTGCAGTGGCTCACAGCTGTAATCCCAGAACTCTGGGAGGCCAAGGCAGGCAGTCCGCTTGAGGCCATGAGTTCCAGGCCAGCCTGACCAACATGGTGAAATCCCATCACTACCAAAAATATGAAAATTAGCCAGTTGTGGTGGCACGTGCCTGTAGTCCCAGCTACTCAGGAGGCTGAGATGGGAGAATTGCTTGAACCCAGGAGACGGAGATTGCAGTGAGCTGAGATCACACCACGGCACTGCAGCCTGGGCAACAGAGCGAGACTCGGTCTAAAAATAAGGAAGTAAATACATAAAAATTTTAAAATACTGGAGAGCTTAATATGTTACACGTATTACATGAGGAACAAGAAAATAACCGTATGATCTTACATTGAAAGTTTTTCCCATGCAATTTTTTTTTTTTTTTTTTTTGGGGTAGAGTTTTTGCTCTTGTTGCCTAGGCTGGAGTGCAGTGGCGCTATCTCGGCTCACTGCAACCTCCCTCTCCCAGGTTCAAGCAAGCCTCCTGCCTCAGCCTCCCAAGTAGCTAGGATTACAGGCATGCGCCACCATACCCAGCTAATATTTTGCATTTTTAGTGAAGATGAGTTTTATCATGTTGGTCAGGCTGGTCTTGAACTCCTGACCTCAGGTGATCGGCCCACCATGGCTTCCCAAAGTGCTGGGATTATAGGCATGAGCCTGGGCTCCCAGATGCAAATTCTTTACCACTTTCCCGGCCATGAAGCGTGATTGCAGGCAGATTCTACTGCTTGAAAATTTAAAACTTCTAGGGGGAGAAATGCAGCATGTATAACAAAGGGTTTATATCTCCTGTCTTTCTGCTTTGCCTTTTCCAGGCATCCTATCCATGGAATTGTACAGCGTGTGGCTCTTTGAGGCTCATAGCATATTGCAGTTGAGATATAGAACATCTGCGCTGCTGGCCAGGCGCAGTGGCTCTTTGGGAGGCTGAGGCAGGCAGATCACGAGGTTAAGAGATTGAGACCATCCTGGCCAATATGATGAAACCCTGTCTCTACTAAAAAAATACAAAAAAATTAGTCAGGCGTGGTGGCACATGCCTGTGGTCCTAGCTACTCGGGAGGCTGAGGCGGGAGAATCGCTTGAGCCCAGGAGGCGGAGGTTGCAGTGAGCCGAGATTGCGCCACTGCACTCCAGCCTGGTGACAGAGCAAGACTCAGACTCAAAAAAATAAATAAAAACTCCACGCTGCTGCGTGTATGAGTAGTTTGTTCCTTTTTATTGTTGGTAATAGTCCATTATATAAATACACCATAATTTATTTGTCCTTTTGCAATTTTATGGACAAGGGTTGTTTCCAGCTCTGTGCTATAAATGTTAGCATGCAGATTTTTGTGTGGGCACGGCTTCATAGTTGTTGATTGACTATCTAAGGGTGGGATTGTCAAACTTGTTTTCCAAACTGCCTGTGCCATTTTGCCTTCCCACCAATAATGTGCGAAAGATTCAGTTACTCTATATTCTCACCAGCATTTGCTATTGCCAGTTTGTTTTACTACCTCCAACCCAATGCGCAGTGGTATCTCATTTTAATTTGCATTTCCAGAATGACTAATGATGTTGAGTATATTTTCATGTGTTTATTTTCCCTCTATTTCTACTTTGGTGAAATACATGTGCAAACCCCTTTTTTAAATTGGGTTGTATGTTTCTTATTGAGTTTTATAATTTCTTTATATATTCTGTTTGGCAGTCATTTATCATATATGTTTTGCAAGTATTTCTTCCCAGTCTGGTTTATATTCTCATTTTCCTAATAGTGTCTTTTGAAGTGTAGAGGTTTTGCATTTTGATGAAATTCAGTTTATGAATTTTTTTCTTTTATGATTTATGCTTTTTGTGTCCTATTTAAGAAATTTTGCCAAAGCCAATAAAGATTTCCTTCTAAAAGTTTTGTGATTTTAGGTTTCACAGGGTGGCCTATGAACCATTGAGAGTTAATATCCGTGTATAGTTCACAGAATGCTGCCAACCCTCTTCTCCCCCGACTTCTTATTTATTTATTTATTTATTTATTCATTTATTTTTAGAGACGAGGTTGCACTGTGTTGTCCAGGATGGTCTCCATCTCTTGACCTCGTGATCCGCCCGCCTCAGCCTCCCAAAGTGCTGGGATTGCAGGCTTGAGCCACCGCGCCCAGCCCTTGTTTTTATTTGTTGACACATATGTATCCAGTCCATTAAATTTACTCAGCACCTTTGTTGAAAATCACCTGGCATATGTGGACAGGTCTGTTTGTGTCTCTAATAGGTCTATTGATCGTTGACTCTATCCGTTTGCCAATAGCACATTGGCTTGATTGATAACTCTGTCTGTGGGAAGCCTTGAAAGCAGGTACTGTGCATTCTCCAAATTTATTCTTTTTCAGAATAGTTTTGACTACTGTAGGTTGTTTGCTTTTCCACATAAATTTTGAAATCAGCTTGTTGGCTTCTTCAGAACGGACCACTGGGATTTTCATCGATACTGTATTGAATCGGTAGATCAATTCAGGAGTGCTGACATCTTGACAATATCTAGTGCTTTCAGTCCAGGAATACAGAATATCTCCATTTATTTAGGTCTTCAGTTTCTCTCATCAGTGTTTCGTTACCTTCAGCATACAAATGTTATATGAATTTTGAGATATATCCCTAAGTATTTTATGTTTTTTAGTGCCACTGTAAATGGTATTTTAAAATATCAGTTTCCAATTGACATTTCATTCGTTTCTAGTTCATTACAAGTATATAGAAATGGAATTTTTTTTATTGCTGACATTTGTATCCTATAAATATGTAAAAATCACTCATTGGACAGTGGATTTCTTTTTTCCTTTTTTCTTTTTAAGACGGAGGAGTCTCGCTCTGTTGTCCAGGCTGGAGTGCAATGGCACAATCTCAGCTCACTGCAGCCTCCACCTCCTGGGTTCAAGCGATTCTCATGCCTCACCCTGCCGGGTAGCTGGGACTGCAGTCATGTGCCACCAAGCCCGGCTAACTTTTGTATTTTTAGTAGAAACAAGGTTTCACCATGCTGGCCAGGCTGGTCTCGAACTCCTGACCTCAAACGATCCACCTCAGCCTCCCAGAGTGCTGGGATTACAGGTGTGAGGCACCGTGCCCAGCCAGACAGTGGATTTCTAAAAATCGATTACTGGGGATTTTCTACAGTCATGCAGTGTATATATGAGCGCAGATAGCTTTCTTCCTTTCCAGTCTATAAGCTTTTCTGTGTTTGTCTTGCCTTATTGTGCTGGCTCAGACCTGCAATGTGTTGAAGAGAAGTGGTGAGAGTAGACACTTGTTTATTCTTGATCTTAGGAAGAAAGAAAACATTCAGTCTTTTACTCTAAATTCTGATATAGCTATAGGTTTTTATGGCTGCCTTTCATCAAATTGAGGATGTTTCCCTTATTTCTGGTTTACTAAGAATTTTTATCATGAATGAATGTTGAATTTTTCAAGTTCTTTTTCTCTTGAGATATTCTTGTTTTTTCTTCAATCTTTTTTTTTTTTTTTAATGAGTCTCACTCTGTCCCCCAGACTAGAGTGTAGTGGCATGATTTCGGCTCACTGCAACCTCCGCCTCCTGGATTCAAAAGATGCTCCTGCCTCAGCCTCCCAAGTAGCTGGGATTACAGGCATCTGCCATCACGCCTGGCTAATTTTTGTAATTTAGTAGAAACGGGGTTTCGCCATGTTGGCCAGGCTGGTCTTGAACTCCTGGCCTCAAGTGATCCATCCGCCTTGGCCTCCCAAAGTGCTGGGATTACAGACTTGAGCCACCACACCCAGCCTTCTTCATCTGTTAGTATGGTGAATTATATTAATTTTTCTTCGTGTGTTCAACCAGCCTTGCATTCCCTAATGAAGCTATGTTCATTTTATGTATCATTGTATCCAGCGTACTAATATGTTGCTATGATTTTTTACATTTATGTTCATAATACTGGTCTGTAGCTTTGTTTCCTTGTAAACGCCTACCAGCACGTTTAAGTTCACTCATTTTGATTTTGATCTCTGAATAATTTATTTGGTTATTTGACAAATCTGTTTAGTCTTGCTTTTTAGCTTCTGTATTCTATAGATAAATTTAAGATTTTACTTTTCTCCAAACATAGTAAGCAAAGTTCTATGTTTTTATGAAGACGGGGTTTCATCATGTTGGTCAGGCTGGCCTTGAACTCCCGACCTCAGGTGATATGCCTGGCTGTTCTTAATTATTTTTCATAGTAAGCTTTCTTTTTTCCTCAAATACTTTAAAAATTCTTTGAGTCCAGGAATGCAGCTGCGGGTTTTTTTTTTATTTTAGACGGAGTCTCACCCTGTTGCCCAGGCTGGAGTGCAGTGGCGAAATCTCGGCTCACTGCAACCTCCAGCTCCTGGGTTCAAGCGATTCTGATTCTCTTGCCTAAACCTCCTGAGCCAGAATAATCTTGATCTCCTTACCTTGTGATCCACCCGCCTCAGCCCTCCAAAGTGCTAGGATTGCAGGCGTGAGACACCACGCCTGGCCTTTTTTTTTTTTTAAGACAGGCTCTTGCTCTTGTTACCCAGGCTGGAGTGCAGTGGCGTGATCTCAGCTCACTGCAGCCTCCACCTCTGGGTTCAAAGGATTCTCCTGCCTCAGCCTCCCGAGTAGCTAGGATTACAGGCTCCTGCCACCACATCCAGCTAATTTTTGTATTTTTAGTAGAGACGGGGTTTCTCCATGTTGGCCAGACTGGTCTTGAACTCCTGACCTCAGGTGACCTGTCCACCTAGGCCTCCCACAGTGCTGGGATTACAGGCGTGAGCCACTGTGCCTGGCCACAGCTGTGCATTTTTCCAGAGATAGTTTGCATTTGTTTCTGCCAGTCTACTGGAAATGCTGAGTGTCAGACAATTTGTTTAAAATTCAAGACATATACAGCTTTTGAGACCACCCTAATAATGTGAATTGGACTGCCAATTCAGAGATTTAAGTTAATTTAATTTACTGCAGTCAAATAATAGAAATTAAGCTGGATTCCATGTTACAGAAAGTAGGAAATAAAGGCTTTCCTGGTTTATGGCTTAGACAACTAACGCAATAAGGGAGCCGTTAACTGAGAAAGAGACTGCAGCAGCCTGCCGCTGAAGTTCCATTTTGAATATATTATGTGTGAAATTCCTGTGTTTTGGCTGGGGGCAGTGGCTCACGCCTGTAATCCCAGCACTTTGGGAGGCTGAGGCAGGCAGATCACGAGGTCAGAAGATCGAGACCATCCTCCTGGCTAACATGGTGAAACCCCATCTCTACTAAAAAATACAAAAAGCTGGCCATGGTGATGTGTGCCTGTAGTCCCAGCTACTCAGGAGGCTGAGGCAGGAGAATTGCTTGAACTTGGGAGGAGGAGGTTGCAGTGAGCCGAGATCGCACCACTGCACTCCAGCTGGCAACAGAGCGAGACTCCGTCTCAAAAAAAAAAGGAAGAAATTCCTGTGTTCTGTCCAACTGGTATTTGACTGTTTATGGAGTGAGTCATAAACACAGAGAACAGAGAGGGCGTTTAAAACTGAAGCTGTGTGCGGTTCCCAGGGGCAGGGGAGGGGAATACCCTGCTTGAAAGAAGAAGCCCCAGGAGCTGAGAGGTCACAGTACTTAGAGGTTGGGCAGAAAGGTGAGAGGAGCAGTCAGAGACAGGAAGAAGGCGATTCTCGCAGGCACGAGGAATTCATTGAGCCTGCTTTTTCTCCGCGTGGGTTTCTGGAGGAACCTCAGGTTTTCTAGCCTCCGCTGGTAAATTCTCCTTTGATGGACTGCACGTCCAGGGCCCGCTGTCTGCGACGTCCAGGCACCCGTTCCCACTCTGGGCATATTCCGGATGTGGAGAGCACGTCCCTGGGAGGCTGAGAATCAGTAGCTGCTGGCCCACTCCGATGCCTCCGGCCGCTCCAGGCTGGGAGGAATCTTCAAAGGGTTGGGTCCCAAGGGACACCTGGGTGGAACTTGGCACCAGGACAGTTTGACAGTGCTTCCTTTTGTTTTTGTTTTAATATTTATTCAGTTTTTTTTTTTTTTTTTTTTGATAGAGAGGCACACTCTGTCACCCAGGCTGGAGTGCAATGGTGTGATCTCGGCTCATTGCAACCTCTGCCTCCCGGGTTCAAGGGATTCTTCTGCCTGAGCCTCTGGAGTAGCTGGGATTATAGGCACCCGCCACCACACCCAGCTACTGTGTCTGTATGTTTAGTAGAGACGGGGTTTCACCATGTTGGTCAGGCTGGTCTCGAACTCTGCACCTCATGATCCGCCCGCCTTGGCCTCCCGAAGTGCTGGGATTACAGGCGTGAGCCACCACACCCGGCCAGTTTGACAGTGTTTCTAAACCTTCCTTGGCCCATTTGTCTTTGTTTTATTCTTCCTGCTCAGGTAGACTGTGTCCTTTTCCATGTCTTAGGTACTTTTTTCCTCCGTGAGGTCCATATTGAAGTAAGGGTTAGAGCTTCCTTTTCCTGGACCCTCCCGAATTGCCTCTCCCGTATCTGTGCTCGGGAGCTGTGCCCACTTGGTGGGAAGCCCGCATGTTACAAATCATGTCTCTGACATTGGCATCGGTGAACTCCTAGGTTAATGAGGGTTTTCTCTCCTGGTAGGACGTTTAACTTTGGACCCTGAAACAGCTCATCCCTGCCTGGCCCTGTCTGAGGACCTGAGAACTGTGAAATTGAGAAATTCCCAGCAGGATACACCTAGCAGCCCAGAAAGACTGAACTTCAGTGCCATGGTGCTGGGCGCGGAACGCTTCACCTCCGGGAGGCACTACTGGGAGGTGCACGTGGAAAAGGCCACCAACTGGCAAGTGGGCATATCCTACCGCACTGCAGACGGGAGGGGCAGCTCGCCCAGAGCCTCTGGAGAGAAAGTCTTACTCACCGGGTCGGTGTTGGCGGCGGAGCCTACACTCTGGGTCTTTCCCCCTTTGAAAAGGGTCTTTCTGGAAAAGCAGTTACGTACGGTTGGAGTTTTCCTTGACTACGAATATGGGCAGATATCATTCTACAATGTGACAGAGAGTTCCCTCATTTATAATTTCTCCCATCTCGCCTTCCAAGGAGTTCTCAGGCCTGTGTTTTCCCTTTGTATCCCAAACGGAGACACAAGTTCAGACTCCCTCACCATCTCCCCTCAGGACGGTCCTTCCTGCGATGACACGGTTAGCCCTTAATCTTGTACGGGCAGAATCCAAGACCACAAGAGACCAGAGAGTTTGAGAACAAGATTTTGAAAGAATGTTTGTAAACTAACCCAATAAAAGGTGTGTTCTAGGAGTTGGAGCCTGATTTGATATCCCAGAGCCTTTGCATTTGTGTGGCTGTCCACTCCTCTGTGGTGAGGGAGGTTGCACTTGACCTGAGTCGTGAATAATGATAAAGGGGAGACCCTATGCTAAGTAGAACAAATGCATATGCATCAGAGGGTTGGCAATTACAGAGGAAATTGTGGGGTGTGTAGAACTGGGCTAGGAGCTCGATGTATTCCTGAAACAGTTGCAGAATCAGGCATCGTCAGGAATGAAAGCAGGGCTTGAGAAGTGAGTGTGCCACCGTGCGGAACAGACGTCCCGTTACTGACAGTGAGTATCAGGACTTTCTAAGATTTTCTTATTCCAAATAGAGAAGAATAACTTATCGGGCTATTTTATGTGGATAGGAAGGAGAAGTTGTGGAAAATGTGAATATTTTTAAATTTTCTTTTCTTTTTCTGTTTATGAGACAGTTTTGCTCTTGTCGCCCAGGCTGGAGTGCAGTGGCGTGATCTCAGCTCACTGCAGCCTCCGCCTCCTGGGTTCAAGCGATTCTCCTGCCTCAGACTCCCGACTAGCTGGGATTACAGGTGCCCACCACCATACCCGGTTTATTCTTGTGTTTTTAGAAGAGGCCAGGTTTCTCCATGTGGGCTAGGCTGGTCTCGAACTCCTGACCTCAGGTGATCCACCTGCCTCTGCCTCCCAAAGTGCTGGGATTACAGGTTTGAGTCACCATGCCTGGCCAACCTCTCTGATAAGAGTAATTTGATGTAGGCCAGGCGCGGTGGCTCACGCCTGTAATCCCTGCACTTTGGGAGGCCGAGGCGGGTGGATCACGAGGTCAGGAGATCAAGACCATCCTGGTCAACATGGTGAAACCCCGTCTCTACTAAAACTACAAAAAAAAATTAGCTGGGCATGGTGGCGCGTGCCTGTAGTCCCAGCGACTCAGGAGGCTGAGGCAGGAGAATTGCCTGAACCCAGGAGGCGGAGGTTGCGGTGAGCCGAGATCGCACCATTGCACTCCAGCCTGGGTAACAAGAGAGAAACTCCGTCTAAAAAAAAAAAAAAAAAGAGTAATTTGATGTATTAGAAACCTGGTAGGTGGTGTTTTGAATCAGGTAAGAAATACTGATTATGCCTGGTGTTTGCCTTCTTACTCTATTTGGTGGTCTACTGGCAATGCTTTCCCTTACATCCGTGCTCAGGGATGGTTGTGTAATGCTGAGAAAATAAGTAGCTACATAGGGACTTTTACATTTAAGTTTTATCATACTTTATCTCCTTTAATATTTTTAACAACCTATGAATGTGCATTAATCTTATTACTCACATGTGGAAACTGATGCTCAGAGACCTAATTTGCCTTCTTTTTTGAGACGGAGTTTCACTCTTGCCCAGGCTGGAGTGCAGTGGCGCGATCTCGGCTCACCACAACCTCCGCCTCCTGGGTTCAAGTGATTCTCCTGCCTCAGCCTCCTGAGTAGCTGGGATTACAGACATGTGCCATCGCATCTGGCTAATGTATTTTTAGTAGAGATGGGGTTTCTTGATGTTGGCCAGGCTGGTCTTGAACTCCTGACCTCAGGTGATCCTCCTGCCTCTACCTCCCAAAGTGCTGGGATTACAGGTATGAGCCACCGCACTCGGCTCTGATTTGCTTTTTCTAAAGTCACATAGCTATTACGGATGTGGTAACAAGGAGAAGAAATTAAATCCAGACTGTCATTGGATCAAAAAGCGAGCTCTGCCTGACTTCTGCCGCACAGGCATCTGTGGTAATGAGCATGGCTAGGTGGGACAGTGGTCCAGTTTTACTCCAATTTTCTAAAAAGGCAAGTCAGTTTCCACAGAAAATAGAAGCAGCATGTCATTTACTCTTCCCTCTGTAGGTAGGCTCGTGGAAGCCAGGTTCTTCAGGACGGGCAGAGTAGGTAGGAACAAAAGGCAGATGTCAGAAAATTGCCTCTGTCGACTCACGGGAGTCAGGGAAGGTGTGGCATCTTACTCATCTGTCTTTTGGGGAAAGAGTTTTGACCGTTTCGAATTCTCAAAATGTGCTTTTAAAATATGTGAAAAGTGTGTTTTGGTAAAGGTGTACACTGAAAAGTCATAGTGCGTCTGTGACTCAGGAGGAACTGGGAGAAGGTACCTCTGTTATGAAAAGCGAGGGTCAGGTTAGATAAGAGAGCTGGAAAGGAGGTAATTATTTGAAACATTTTAGGAATTCAGCGCAATGGCTCTTAAACCCTTACATAATTTTTTTTTTCTTCCCATTTATTTATTTTATTGCATTTTAGGTTTTGGCTTACATAATTTTTTTAAGAAAAAGATAATGATAACTTATATAGGGAAATGCGAGATGATTTAGCAATAAGTGCATGATTTATATTCAAAATCCAATAATGTCTCCATCTCTAGCCACTGCAAATTATAAACTAAAATAAATACTTTGGATCAAACATTGCTATACAACCCACAACACACAAATGCAGTTGTTTATAAGACAGACTGTGTGATAAGCTAAGCTAATGGTCCTCAGACTTGCCCCGGCCCCCAGGGAACATCTGGCAATGTCTGGAGCAGGTTTTCACTTGTCACACAGAAAGAACCGTGCCACTGGAAGCCAGTGAGCAGCGGCCGGTGATGCTGCAATGTATCCTACGGTGGATACTGCAGCCTGACACACCAAGAATTGTCTGGCTCAAAACGTAGCAGCACTAAGGCTGAGAAACCCTGACCTAAACCTACGGTAATAGTAAAAAACGAAGGCAGCAAACTTGGAAAACTCAAATCTGAGGACGTTGTTAAACCAATATCTGCATTTTTCCTCCAAACTGCAGGAATTCCTAATGTACCTGTCTAGTGAGGGCTCCACAAGGTATTTTTTTTAATTTATTTTTTTGAGATGGAGTCTCACTCTGTAGCCAGGCTGGAGTGCAGTGGCACAATCTCGGCTCACTGCAACCTCCCCCTCCTGGGTTCAAGCGATTCTCCTATCTCAGCCTCCCTCGTAGCTGGGATTACAGGGGCCCCCACCATGCCCAGCTGATTTTTGTATTTTTAGTAAAGATGGGATTTCACCATATTGGTCAGGCTTCAAGTTGTTTATTAACAGCTAATTATCTTAGAATATTGAATTTAAGAGAGAGGAAATTAATATATTGACCTTACCTTGTGAATATCATAATTAATAACTACTTAGTAGGTTATTAAATACTTTGGTCATAATTCTATAGGTTTTCATCTGTGTGTGTGTATGTTTTTTTGAGACAGTCTCACTCTGTCACCCAGACTGGGGTGTAGTGACGCAGTCTCAGTTCACTGCAACCTCCGCCTCCCGGGTTCAAGCAATTCTCCTGCCTCAGACTCCCGTGTAGCTGGGGTTACAGGTGCGCACCACCATTCCCTGCTAATTATTTTGTGTTTTTAGTAGAGGTGGGGTTTCACTCTATGTTAGCCAGAATGGTCTTGAACTCTTGACCCTCAGGTGATCCACCTGCCTCGGCCTCCCAAAGTGCTGGGATTACAGGCCTGAGCCACCATGTTCGGCCTTTCATCTGTATTTTTAAAATGCATTCATAATGTCCCAAAACTCGAATTCCAACTAGTGCCACATTCTGCAAGATCCACCTTTGAATCTTCCAGCCAATCCCTGTGTCTTTCCCCGATTTCTCCATTCTGACACGCTGATAAAACTGTCAAGGTTGTGTGCTTAGGACAGAAAGCCTCACTTAGGGCTTCGTGTCACACTGTCACCCAGGCTGGAGTGTAGTGGCACGATCTCAGCTCACTGCAACCTCCACCTCCTGGATTCAACTGATTCTCCTGCCTCAGCCTCCTGAGTAGCTGGGACTATAGGCACGCACCACCACACCCGGCTTATATTTTTGTATTTTTAGTAGAGACGGGGTTTCACCATGTTGGCCAGGCTGGTCTCGAACTCCTGACCTCAGATGATCTGCCCACCTCGGCCTCCAAAGGTGCTGGGATTGCAGGCGTGAGCCACCGCGCCTGGCCTTTGACTGTAGCTTTTCTATGTTCAGGTGCACAGAACCATTGTGTTACGGGTGCAGTACGGGAACCTGCTGTACAGGTTCATATAGCCTAGGGGTGCAGCGGGCCGTGCCACTCAGGTGTGTGCAAGACACCCTGATGTTTGTGCAAGGACATCGCCTAAGGATGCATTTCTCTGGGGCAGGGGCACACGTACACAACTGTGCTTCTAACCCATGAATCCAGTTGGTAAAAATTGGTTCATGAGAGGTGAAAAAAGTCTATATATTACAATGGCTTGGGCCCGCCAAAAGAGCCCAGCCCATAAACATGCATATATATATGGAAGTAAAATTTCTTTCTTTCTTTCTTTTTTTTTTTTTAAGGTAGGGTCTTTCTGCGTCACCCAGGCTGGAGTGCAGTGGCGAGATTTTGGCTCACTGCAACCTCCACCTCCCAGGCTCAAGCGATTCTCCTGCCTCAGCCTCCCGAGTGAGTAGCTGGGACTAGAGGTGCATGCCACCAGGCCTGGCTAATTTTTTGTATTTTTAGTAGAGACAGATTTTCACTGTGTAAGCTGGGATGGTCTTGATCTCCTGACCTTGTGATCTGCCCTCCTCAGCCTCCTAAAGTGCTGGAATTAAGGCGTGAGCCACCACGCCCAGCCTGTGGAGGGCTGGTAGGAAAGATCCTGTCACAGGCTTTCATTTTATGGGCCTGTGGGGTTTTAACCAGTTTTGTATCTGACGTAACAAAAATGTTGAGACATTGCTGTACTCCTAAGTGTTTCTTTTTTGTTTTGTTTTGTTTTCTGAGACGGAGTTTCGCTCTTGTTACCCAGGCTGGAGTGCAATGGTGCGATCTCGGCTCATCGCAACCTCCGCGTCCTGGGTTCAGGCAATTCTCCTGCCTCAGCCTCCTGA